TATATTACATACATTTTGTCTCTCCCAAGTGATCATGGTAATATTATACATATTATGTGTGTCCCAGGTGATCATGGACACAGAGGAGATCCAGCAGTACGTGGACTCGAACTTCCCCCGCCCAGACCTCCGCTACGGCAACCGAGACGCACACACGGCCTGTCTGGATGTCTTCTCCAAGTTCTCCTTCTTCGTCAAGAACGTCTCCCACACGCCGGACCACCTCATCAAAGAGCTCTCCTACCTCAACGGCTTCCTGGAGCGCTCAGAAAACACGTACATCTGCGGCGAGGACCTCACACACCTGGACTGTAACGTCCTCCCCAAACTGCAGCACATCCGTGTGGCGTCCAAAGCCTTCAAGAACTTCGACATCCCCGCGTCCATGAAAGGGCTGTGGCGTTACCTTGGCAACGCGTACGACAACGACACCTTCAAGAAGACGTGTCCGTCCGACCAGGAGATCGTTCATCACTGGAGCGAGAAGAAGGAGACAACTCCACTTCCTGAGGACAAGAACAAGTTCTATACTGTGGAGACGACGCCCCGGTTTTCTTTAGAGTTACCGGACTTTGTCACTAGGAGGAAGTAATACGACTGGTGGGTTATCTAGCTTGTTGTAGAGAATAGGCGAAAGTCATTATAATGTTATCATTATTATTATTATAAAGAATGGTGCTGTAAACGTTTGTTTTTTGTAATACTCTGGTAATGTTTTATAAATTGATACGAATTGTGACTGCCATGTTATGTTCTAATGGCATGCATTTGATGCTGTGTTTACTTACAAATGTACTTCCTGTCTTTGTCAGTGACTGTAAATAACTGATCAAATCTTCCTAACACAGACCGAAGTCTTCGGTCATTATAAAGAGGGAAATACTGCCACCCTAGTGATGAGGTTGGATAACTACAACCTTTTCGATTTTGCTTTTTTTTTCACGAACCGTATTCTACAAAGCATGTTTCATATGCTGTTTAAAAATTTATATTCAAATAAACAATAAAGATCGGACTTTTTCAAAAGCGCGAAAATCGGATGACCCAAAGCCGTCCTTTTAAGAAAATCAGTTTTTAAGTTTTCCTGAAAAATGTCCCCGATGTAACTTATCCCATCTTGTGGCGTCGGTGGCTTAGTGGTTAGGCTACCAGACTCGTAATCATGAGATAGCGGGTTCGGGGGTTCGAGCCTCAGCTCGGTCCGACGTTGTGCCCTTGGGAAAGGCACTTTACTGGAATTCCTCACTTGGCTCGGTCCTTTCGGAGATGGACGTCAAACTTGGAGGTCCCGCCTCTTTAATAACCTAACAGTGTTGATAGGGGCGTTAAACTTATTGGTACTATTTCATCCTTTTGTCCGATCTTATCAACATAGGGCGAGGATATCCCGAATTATGAAGCTGCATGTACGCCACTTAAATGACTTACCGAAGGAAACTGTTTTTAACAAACGTTTTACGGCACTTGCAACACAATTAGGTTATATAAGTGCTGAAGCAAACTATGTACTATTTTGTCTACGAGTGAAACTGCAGAAATATCGTGATTTCCATCGTGCAGGGCTGTAGTGACATGCCCGTGGTTCAAATCCACAGTGGGCAAGTCTTGAGACTTAATTGTCAAGGTATTTCAAGGCTTTCAAATGGCTTTGCCCAGTCCTATGGCGGAGAAAGACGTAAAATGGGAGGTAACCACTCTTTGAAAAACCAACATAGCATTAGAAAGAGGTTTCAACATATTATTGTCCCCGAATGGTGAGACCCGCAAAATTGTCTGATCCAAAACTTTGGCAGGGTTTGCTGGAGCCCTGAAAAAAAAATATTCCTTAGGGTTTTAGTCTTCCGTGGTGAGGTCAAGGGGCATACGTGCAGTGCTGTCTTTGGTGCTGACTTACACTCACAGTTAGGTGATTCTTTCAGTATTCATGATAATAATTCTGTTGATAGAGTGCCTTAATGTGAGTTAACTGTGTTATACAACTGCTGTCAGTTCCTTTCTACTTGAGTGGCGATTTTTCTCGAGTTCATTTAAACTTCTCATAACACGATAAATGGCAGCCACGCAAACCCCGCATCCATACACACTAACAAACTCATACTCAAACTCATACACACTTTCTCCCCCCCCCCCTCTCTCTCTCTCCCTCTCTCTCTCTCTCTCTCTCTCTGTCTCTTTTACACACACATATACACATATACACACAGATACACACACATACACACGCACATACATACACACTGACAAACTCATACTCTCACTCACACATACACACTTTCCCCTTTTCTCTCTCCTTTACTCTTTCTCTCTCTCTCTCTCTCTCTCTCTCTATCTCTCTCACATACACACACATACACACACACATACACACACACATACACACACATACACACACACATACACACACACGCATGCACTGCACTGACAAGCACTCAGACAGACAGACTGAAAGGGAAAGAGATAGAGAGAGACCGTAAGATACAAGTAGAAAGACAGCGAGGAAAAAACGAGAAAGAGAGGAGGGGAGAGAGACTAGAGAGAAAGGGAAGGATGGAGAGGTTGAGATAGATAGATAGATAGATAGAGAGAGAGAGAGAGAGAGAGAGAGAGAGAGAGAAAGAGAGAGA